TTCAGGTACCATGCTTCTGTGTGAATAGACAACAAGCAGAAGGCATTTAAGCATTAGTAAGAAGAGGAAACAACCAAAATACAAATGTCTACTGTGCATGAGATTGTTGCAGCATCAGACATTACAAACTTAAGCTAAACCAGCAGTTTGATAACTTGCCTTTATTATTTTACAACATAATGCTTCGAGCTCAAATAAAGGAACTGAAAATCTTTATGAAAGAGAAGAAATAGCATATGCTAGGCATGACCAAGATTTCTTAAGAATGGTTTGACTCAGGTGTAAAAAAAAAAAAAAAAAAAAAAAGCAAAAGCAAACAAGGAATTGTTTTAAATTAAAGCCATTGGAAATGACAAAATCAAAGGTGATTCACCACAGGACTGAGAGGCACCAGGAGGTGTACAAAACAGATGCTAAGTGTCACCAGAGAAGTTAAACATTTCTTGAGCACTTACAAGGATGGGGAAAAAAAGAAAAAAAAAAAAAAAAGACTTTCATAAGAGTCCTCAAAACAAAGAGCATCTGCTGTCATCTCATAAATCCAGAGGCTTCCTTTGATAATAAAAATAATTTTTGACAATATCTCCTGCATCTAACATCAAATATTTCAATATTAGATCTCCTGATAAAGTTCGCAGAACATCTTTAGATTTGCAAAATAAACACTCTGTCTAAGGAAATGGGACTGCACAGTTTTGACAACCTCTACTCAGGTACAATCTTGGTGGACCAAATAAATGTTCATATGGACATAACAACTGACAGCTATCTAAGTAATGGTGATTGCGATCTGCTAATTATTCTGTGAAAACACTATGCCACTAAGCCAGCGTTATTTGTACCTGAAATTTTAAAAGGGTCAGTTTCCCCAAAGGTAATAATTGCAAGTGACTAGAAAAAAATAAACATTTAAAATGAGAAGAGTAAGCTAGGAATTATCATTTAATGACATCCTAAACATTAATCCAAAAAAGAAAGCACAATATAAAGAAGAACGGTGAAAAAAATAGTAAGGGTTACTAGTTACGAGAAAACGCACACATAACTTAAGAGAAACTCAGGGAATCAATAAAATATCAATTAACAGCAGCATAAAGGACAGTAAGATTTCAGACCTGTATAAATGCATACTCAATCGTGAGCAGATCCACCATTGGATACTGCTGGTGAAAAGAAAAGCAGCAATGCAAAAATGCAGAAATATTCCGCAGATCCTTTTGATCTGTACCTGGAACAAAATAATGACTGCATTTAATCTCATGTAACAGTAAGGAAGGAACAAAAATGTTGATGTATTTCATCAAGGAAGCTCTACAACAGCACTTCCTACAATTAAACATTTTTCAATCAAATGTCCAACGTTTCACATAGTTGTCTTAAACTAGTCAAAGAGTAACTTGCCTTGTTGACACAATAATGCACTAGTAAATTTGGGACTCAATCAACAGCTCAGTCAACAGCTTTAGTGACTAGTATCATCGATGCTGCTAGTCACGCGTAACTTCAGAAAAGGGAGAAAGGCTAACAAACTTCTTGTCCCAAGTACATTACAAAGGTACCTTCACCAATACAGCGCATTTGAAATTATCCAAAAGAAATTCACTCAGTACAACATGGCACCTTAATTAAAAAAAAAAAACCAAACAAACCAGCATTGTAAGAAGCTATTAGGGGGACAGTTTAAATGGATTAAAAACTCATACAGGAACAGATCTCAAAATGCATCAAAGAGGAAAACATAAATAAGCATGTCCGAACCCTGCATTGTACCTCAAAATCAAGTCCTCATGCACCACCCTATAATAATTTCATCGATTATCTGGATAATTAAATGACTTTGTCCATAACATTTACAAAGGATATGGAACTCAGTGCTTCAATGCCCAGTAACTCCATAGGCAATGAAGTCTTTGAGTTGCCACTAGGCATTTTGTTACAAGGCTTAATGTAAAGAGCTCTTGGCAGAAATTCTACAGCCTCTGTGTACCAGCATTCAAATTAACTTCTCTGGCCTTTTATTATGCATTCAAGAAATCCATAGCTCTAATAGCCACTACCAGGTTTCACCAGAACTACTGATCTCATGCCCCAGGCAATCTAAAAGCACAAAAGAGAAGATCCTTCACAGGCACTGGACTACTCCACACCCTTCTGCAACTTCCCCATGAACTTCGTGGCAGGCTTGTCAGCCCAGACCAAACTGAACCAATAGGATATGCTGCTTTCCTCTTGAGAATGGCTTCTAACTGCGTCCTCCACCAGATGCTTAAGATACTAATCATGATACGAAACTGAAGACAACCATGTTTCTCAGCTTGGATCCAGGAAAGCAAGAACAGAAGAGTTAATACTGCCCTGCTTACCACTGCATTTTTTCATATTCTTTTCCCCCTCTTTTCTCCTTAAGAAACTGTGGGAACAGAGCAAATATTAAGAATCTCAGGCCTACTATCAGCAAAACCAATCATATCCTAACTGGAACTAGCAACCCCCTTTCCACCTAGCCCTTTGATGAACTCACTGGTACTGCTCACATTCGAATAAACACGAGGGACCAGTGAACTGCATGGCTAGACCTCTATATCAAGTTGGAGTACTGCTACTTCAGAAGTTTTTCCTAGAACGCCCCAGCACCTGTATGCTGCATGAATAACATAATCCCAGGTAGCACAACATAATGTGCATTAGGTCCTTCCCTCCCCCACGCCCCATAAAAGATGCCATGGCTCTATGTCTTGCTATGGGGCTGACCCAAACCGTTTGCCTAGCAGCTACTTCCAGCTCAGCAAACCATACCCCCAGGTAACTCAGGTCAGCTCTGTTTCTTCATCCCTGAACACACAGTGGACACGCTCCTCTGCATTGTAATACACCTGCCCACAGCGCAGACGTGGCTCCTCCTGCTGGTACCAGAGCTGTTCATTGAACTCTGGGAAGAAAAAGGCAATTTCTCTGCTGGCTGATGCTGGCGAATCTGTTAGAAAACAGAGGAAAAGAAGATGAGAGATGCTAGTCTGGCACCGCAAATATGTGCTATGTTCTGAAAGGAAGGGCAGAAGCTGTAAAGAAAAGCACCAGGCTCAGTCGCACCAGGACAGGTGTGAGTGGAGTCTGCAGAAGTGAGCAAATCATTAACTTTGACTCCCAGAACGGAAAGCAAGCAAAGGCAGACAAAATACCGTCATTCACACCTCCCTGAGCTCCAGTCTTTGCCCAACACTCAGCCAAGAAGGACAGGTCTACCTGAGCCATGAGTGGTATTCCTGGTGTCAGTGAGGCCATAAGCTCCTCGGATGGAGTCTGGGACGCTGTTTCGGGCTCGGAATACTTTGGTGGGTCCCATCAGGGACCTCCAGAAGGAGACAGCGTTCTCATGGGCCAAGATATAAGCCCACATGGGGCCACTGAGAAAAGCACCAGGGAAGAGCAGAAAGTAGATAAGGTTACAAAAGGGCATAGCTCCTTCATTCTTATCAATACAGCAAGTGCAAAGGAGCAAAGAAGTGCAACTGCCATGCAGTGCTCTCTGGGAGGGGATACAGACCCACCGTGACGCAGAGCGCCTGCATGAGTGACCTCCTCCTAGGTGATGGTACCCACAAGCCCTGGGGATGCCACCCCACCAAGTACCGCTGTTGTCACAGCGGAGGTGGTTCCTGACATCCCTCCATCCCCGAGCCCAGAGCCTTCCCCCTCGGCACACCACAAGCACCAGCTCCTGAGGAGACGCATCCCGCGCCGAGGCGGACCCCTCCGGATGCAGAAGCACCGTTCAGGCAAGACAAGAGTCCACCTGCAAAGCCAAGCGACTCCCTCCCCGCGCCCCGCACGGCCCGGCGGCGGGCACGGCCCCTGCCTGGCCAT